AGTGCCGCAACCCCAGAGTCGGCCATGACTGGACCTAATGGTCAGGGGTCCCTTTACCTTTACCTATGCCCAATTCAAAGTGGAGTAAGGAGGGATAAGTAATGATACTAGCATCCACCTCACTTTTCAAACACCCACCCAGCCACCCACACTCTTTTTTCTATTAAGAGAAAGATCATACATTTGTCACCCAAAAAAATCTTCCACTCGTGGCGCTTACTGGTTTGCAAGATGGTTGTTGGAAGGGGTGGGGTGGGGGGAGGTTACATTTGTATGCAAGGGAAACAAAAAGAGAGAGAGATAGCCACTTCTGTTACCCGTGCTAAATCCTTTAATAAATGTGGATTTAATGCTAAGACAGAAGATCAGGTAAAAATTGCCCAGAGCTGCTTAAAAACTGGAACCGTTCCACTGACCTTCAAAACGTTATTAGAAAATTTAATAATTACAAACTGTCTTAAGTTGGATTTTCTGGTTTCAAGTGAGCTTAATTAAGCAGCAGCATCCCCACCCCACTGGTACTCTCAGTTTTTTATCAGAATTGGAAGGGTGTGATTTTCCTACTGTGTTGCAATTAAAGCAAGGAAGCAAACAAGCAAGCAAGCAAACAAACAAACAAACAAACAAACAAACAAACAAACAAACACCCTGATAGGCTGCTCACTTTCAGTTCTCACGCACAAGGATGAACCCGTGTGAAGCCACAACGTCAGTCATTCGGACTACATAAGGACAGCAAAGCCACAATAAATTATCCCTTATCTTTGAATGATCCCTGGGTGATGAATCAGTACCTCTCTTTTACGCACCACTTGGGTTATTTCCAAAATTTTTGAACAAGTGGGTGGTGGTGGTGAACCTATGAAAATTTGGACGCCAACGGCTGTCGGTAACACTCTGTTCCTCTGTGATGTTATCCCCCCCCCAAAAAAAAACCCCAGCTCCATGTTGGCCTTATGAAACACCTTGGCACCTAAACAGGGAGGGGGGTCTGTCTGGATGATGCCCTAAGCCAGGGGTCCCCAAACGAAGGCCCGCGGGCCCGATAAGGCCCCAGGGACTCGTTTATCTGGCCCGCAGCGACCCCAGCCGCCCACTGCCGCCACCCGCTCTTACCGGCACTGTGCTGCGCGGCTGCCCACTTCCGAGTCGGAGGAGCACCGGAAAGTGTTGGGCGCATGCGCAAGTGTTATTTCCGGTGCATATTCGGGTTGGAGGAGGCCTGTGCACATGCGCACAAGCTATTTCCGGTGCTCCTCCGACCCGGAAGTGTGTCCGAAATAGTGTGTGCGCACGCGTATGGGCATGCGCTCCCCTAACCTCTGGCCCGCTGTGCGATCGGCGCTGGAGACACCAGTCCGAGGCGCGGTAGGTTTGCTGACCCCTGCCCTAACCCCCTTCCAGTTTGGGATTTCCTGTTCCCAGTGAGGACCGAAAACTAATGGAGGAGGTTGCTGGACTGGTCAGCAAGTTTCTTTGTGCGACAATGACCTTAGCTGGCCACTTAGAATCATGGAATCATAGAATTGTAGAGTTGGAAGAGACCCCAGATGTCACCTAGAACCACCCCCTGCGATGCAGGAATCTCAGCTAAAGCACCCATCAGATGTGTCCAACAGCAACCCAAAATAAAGAGTTAGGTTGCAAGAGCTGCAACCAAGATATGGTGACCTAAGGGGTGGTCCACAGCAGTGACCAGAGGAGGAACAGCCGCTGGGAGGAGCTCAGACAGAAGAAACGCCCTGGTGCATCTGCAGCAGCACAACCGGACACCTTCCTCTGCCCCAGCTGCAACAGAACATGTCTCTCCCCTATCGGTCTCCTACAGCAACAGTGCAGAACAAAAAGACCGGGACCTATTGGCAGATTTCCGAGTGGAACGCAAGCAGCAAGCGTAGAAACAGCAAGGATTTCTGGCTATTGCTCGCAACGAAAAAAGGCTTTTCTTCGCGTGCTAAATTAGGATTAAAAGAAGAGTTTTGGGGAGCGCAGGAAAAGACCAGGAGCAGATTTCTGTTTTGTGTGGAAGGCGTGCGAGTACTCTTCCGGCACTGAAACCATATTCCTGGGCTCCTTAACTTTAACAGAGGTTGCCTGTCCGCAAAGACCACCATTTCCAGGTGGCTGATCTTAGTAAAGAACACAGACCCCATAAGCTTAAATCCTGCCATTCCATTCTTTAAGGGTCTCCAGAGATGAGGGAGATATGATTATGCCTTCCAACCACTACCAACAACAACAGCTTAACATTTTAAAAAAGAAGAAGACCCCAAAGCCATTAACTATAATTCCTGAAGAAAATGAGAGGCAACTACAATTTGAGGACTGGTTTAATACGGCAGACTACCCTCTTCCGTTATTTCTGCGTATAACTCCCCCCCCAGCCCCGCTCCCACCTCAGTCCCACGGAAAACAACTCCCTCCAGGGGTCGCATAGCAAAACATAACCTTTCCCCTTTCTGCGTTTGTAGAATGCACCTCAAGTCCCTTTTTGTCAGGCAGCTCAGTATTACACCCAACCTTCGGCTCCACGACTCTATCCCTCACAGAGCTGTTTCCTATGTTCAGAAAGTTATTATTGTTTCATGCCTGGTGGCAAGAAATCTCTGCCAAGGTGGTTTGTAAACACCCATTTGTTACCCAGACCTCTCAAGTCTATCTCGGCCTCAGCTCCGAAAGATGGATTTGCACGCCAACCGTGGCTGTACTCCTGAGACAGGCCAAGCTCCCCCACCCCACCTCCCCCGTCCCCATATGGGCCTATATGTACAACGGGGAGCAAGGAGAGTTATGGGTGCAGGTGCTTAGAGACTACTGCAGCTAAGCGGTATATTGTTGACATCCGTCTTGTCTCCAGAGACAATGGAGTGCGTCTCTGGGGGTGAAGTCAAACACTGTGTTAGTAGCACCGAAGTGACCTCCCCGGGGTGCAAGCCTGGGCAGTGCGAATTGAAGTCCTGGGCTGCCCAGAAGACAAGACCCTTGCTGACGTGGCCTTGCTGACGTGGTCCAGAGAAAAGCAGAAGTTGCCGGAAGGCTCTACGTGGGGCTACCTTTGAAGGTGACCTGGAAACTACAACTAATCCAGAATGCAGCAGCTAGACTGGTGACTGGAGGCGGCCACCGAGACCACATAACACCGGTCTTGAAAGACCTACATTGGCTCCCAGTACGTTTCAGAGCACAATTCAAAGTGTTGGTGCTGACCTTTCAAGCCCTAAGCGGCCTCGGCCCAGTATACCTGAAGGAGCATCTCCACCCCCAACATTCTGCCCGGACACTGAGGTCCAGCTCCGAGGGCCTTCTGGCGGTTCCATCACTGCGAGAAGCCAAGTTACAGGGAACCAGGCAGAGGGCCTTCTCGGTAGTGGCACCCACCCTGTGGAACGTCCTCCCATCAGACGTCAAAGAGATAAACTACTGCCTGACATTTAGAAGACATCTGAAGGCAGTCCTGTTTAGGGATGTTTTAATGTTTGATGTTTTATCGTGTTTTCAATATTCTGTTGGGAGTTGCCCAGAGTGGCTGGGGAAGCCCAGCCAGATGGGTGGGGTATACCCGATTCTACAAAAAGGATTATTTAGAAGAGCAGTTTTTAAATGTATTTTTAATCTTTGTTGGAAGCCGCCCAGAGTGGCTGGGGAACCCCAGCCACATGGGTGGGGTACAAATAATAGTAGTAGTAGTAGTATAATAATAATAATAATAATAATAATAATAATAATAATAATAATATTTCCAAACATCTTAGGGACTCTAGATTCACCTCCTTAGCCTTTTCTTCTCCTGAAGATATCCCACAAGGCAGTGGAGGTTTAGGACCAGAGTTTTCCTTCTCCTCGATGGGCAACCTTCCCAGGTGGATGAGCCCCATCTGCCCCTCACGTCCCTCTACAGCAGCAGTTCTCAACCTGTGGGTCCCTAGATGTTGTTGGACTACAACTCCCATCATCCCTGAGCTCTGGCCTTGCTAGCTAGGGGTGATGGGAGTTGTAGTTCAACAACATCTGGGGAACCACAGGTTGAGAAAGGCTGCTCTACAGCATGTGCAGAAACAGCCTTCTTGACCATTGGTCCCAATACTGGTCTCATCCGCTCAATCCATCAGAGCCTGTCTTCGTACACAGAGGAAGTCCCTAACTCACCAAGGGTTTGAGCCCCATTGGCTACCTTCACCTGGTTTAGCCGGCCAGTCAGAGCCATATCTCAGAGTGTGGCTGCTGTCACAGGCTGGCAGCTTCTAGGAGCGACAGGTGAGAAAGGAGGACCGGCGGTGGGCAATGTCACAGGTAAAAATTGGCCGCTGTTTCTTTTATGCTAAAATAACTAAGTCAGCCTGAGTCAGCGGCCTACAATGACTCATACAACCTTTCACCAAATAGTACCTGTATATAGTCAGTCAGTATATATAGAGTGGAGGAGGAGGAGGAGTTTGGATTTGATATCCCACTTTATCACTACCCTGAAGGAGTCTCAAAGCGGCTAACATTCTCCTTTCCCTTCCTCCCCCACAACAAACACTCTGTGAGGTGAGTGGGGCTGAGAGACTTCAGAGAAGTGTGACTAGCCCAAGGTCACCCAGCAGCTGCATGTGGAGGAGCGGGGAAGCGAACCCAGTTCCCCAGATTACGAGTCCACCGCTCTTAAACACTACACCACATTGGCTCTCATTGAGTGGTCAATGTTAGTGTTGGGTTGCTTGGATGGTAGAAAGCTGGTTGAATTTGGTGTGTGTAAAAGCTGTGGGTCGTGGTTGGAGAAGACTTTTTAAGAATAAAAGCAGCATTCTGCAAAGTACTCTTTCTTAAGGACTCTTTGTGCCAACTAAGGTCTGAGGACTAGGCAAAGGAGGAAAAGGAGGTCAGAAACTGCCCCCCCAAACATTGACAGGCAAATGACCCCAGAAGGAGCCATATGTGTCCCCCACTCCACCTTTCCCCTAACACCACCATACACTGTTGAAATAAATAAATGGGGGAAAAGCCGCAGGTGCAATTACCAATGGCGCAGTCGTGTCCAGTCCAGCTGGGATCACAGCTGCACAGGCCGGTTTCGGGCACGAATGTGCCGTGGCCGGAGCACTGGTCCAGGCAGGTGGCTCTGGGGGTCTCGCAGTTGGTTCCCCCCCATCCGACGGAGCAGTGGCATTCTCCTCTCACACACACACCACGACCGGAGCAGGTGGGGTCCATGCAGTCCACTGCAGCAGGAAGAGAGGAAAAGAGAAGCACATGTAAAAACAAGCGTAGGTTCACATTCATGACCTCATTTGTTTGTTCAGCTTATGCCCCTCTAAGGAGTGCAAGGTGGCTGAAGTACTCTGCCCTCCCCCTTCTCATCCTCACAACAACCTTGCGAGGTAGGCAAGGTGAGAGAGGGAGTGGCAGGCCCCAAGTCGCACCCAGGTGAGCTTCACGGCTAAGTGAGGATTTGCTATAGAACATGGGTAGGCAAACTAAGGCCCAGGGGCCAAATCTGGCCCAATCACCATCTAAATCCAGCCCACGGACGGTCCAGGAATCAGTGTGCTTTTACATGAGTAGAATGTGTCCTTTTGTTTAAAATGCATCTCTGGGTTATTTGTGGGGCATAGGAATTCGTTCATCCCCCCCCCCAAAAAATATATAGTCCGGTCCCCCACAAGGTCTGAGGGACAGTGGACCGGCCCCCTGCTGAAAAAGTTTGCTGACCCCTGCTATAGATAAATATACAGTGGTACCTCGGGTTACATACAGTTCAGGTTATATATGCTTCAGGTTACAGACTCCGCTAACCCAGAAATAGTGCTTCAGGTTAAGAACTTTGCTTCAGGATGAGAACAGAAATCGTGCTCTGGCGGCACGGCAGCAGCAGGAGGCCCCATTAGCTAAAGTGGTGCTTCAGGTTAAGAACAGTTTCAGGTTAAGTACGGACCTCTGGAACTAATTAAGTACTTAACCCGAGGTACCACTGTATCTATTGATTGCTTCCGTTTGCAGATTTGCTTCCCGTCAAAACACCGCTAAGCCCTTTAACAGCAGAAGCACCGGTGACAGAAACATACGTGAAACAATTCTGTATATAAAACCCATTTTCCAACCCAATGCAAATGCAGAGCAGGGTAAAGATTCCCACTTCAAAGGCTTGTCAGGGCAGGAAGGTCTTCCATAGGTGCTGGAAAGAGAACGTGAATTTCAAAGGATGGGCTATGTTTTCCATGTCTTTCGCCTGTCTTCACTTCCTCCCTCTTAGATGCAAATCCTGTGGGTCTAGATGACCCTCTGGATCCGCCCCCCTGACTCTACAACTCAACGACACCCTCCTATGTGCTGAACTATAGATTTCAAGCTCCGTAGGGCAGGGACCCACCCTCCTCTGCTATGCAAAGCGAAATGTGTATCTATGGCACAAAGATAATAGAATCATAGAACTGTAGAGTTGGAGTCTACTTCAACCCCCTGCAATGCAGAAATCCTTTGTAGGGCTTGAACCCACGACCCTGAGATTAAGAGCCTCATGCTCTCTTGGCTGAGCTATCCCAGCAGACAAACGCCTTTGTCAGATTCTCCTGCTAGCATCAAGCTACCAGACAGAACACCTGTTTGGCGTGATCTGGAAGCTGCTGTTGTTTAGTTGTGTCCGACTCTTCATGACCCCATGGACCAGAGCACGCCAGGCACTCCTGTCTTCCACTGCCTCCCGCAGCTTAGTCAGACTCATGTTTGTAGCTTCGAGAACACTGTCCAACCATCTCATCCTCTGCCGTCCCCTTCTCCTTGTGCCCTCCATCTTTCCCAACATCAGGGTCTTTTCCAGGGAGTCTTCTCTTCTCATGAGGTGGCCAAAGTATTGGAGCCTCAGCTTCAGGATCTGTCCTTCCAGTGAGCACTCAGGGCTGATTTCCTTCAGAATGGATCTGTTTGATCTTCTTGCAGTCCATGGGGCTCTCAAGAGTCTCCTCCAGCACCATAACTCAAAAGCATCCATTCTTCGGCGATCAGCCTTCTTTATGGTCCAGCTCTCACTTTCATACATCACTACTGGGGAAACCATAGCTTTAACTAGACAGACCTTTGTCGGCAAGGTGATGTCTCTGCTTTTGAAGATGCTGTCTAGGTTTGTCATTGCTTTTCTCCCAAGAAGCAGGCATCTTTTAATTTTGTGACTGCTGTCATCTGGAAGCTCTCTCTCTCTCTCTCTCTCTCTCTCTCTCTCTCTGTGTGTGTGTGTGTGTGTGTGTGTGTGCCACACAGTCATACCTTGGGTTACAGACGCTTCAGGTTGCATTTTTTTGGGTTACAGACCTGCCGAAACCCAGAAGTACTGGAACAGGTTACTTCCAGGTTTTGGGGGTTGCGCATGCGCAGAATGCTGACTAGCGCTTTGCGCATGCACAGAAGCACCGAATCGCAACTCGCGCGTGCACAGATGCGCTGCTGCGGGTTGCGAACGTGCATCCCACATGGATCACGTTTGCAACCCGAGCGTCCATTGTGTGTGTGTGTGTGTGTGTGTGTGTGTGTGTGTGTGTGTGTATATATATATATATATATATATATATATATATATATATATATGACTTAATTTACATTGGCTGGAAAACAAAGTCACCTGCATTTTACCTAGGCACCGAGCTGGCTGCTCAGCCCTTTCCCTGAGCTGCGCGAGGATATATTTCTGTGGCATGAAGACTCACACTCTTTTTGCATCGCCAGAGTGGCAGGAGGAGGAGACCCGACCTATAAATCTCTGGGGCTGTTAAAAGCTTCCAAGAGTGAAGGCACCAATCTTAGAATGCAGGGACCTCTCTCAGCCCCCCGACTGTCTTCTTCCTCAGAAGTAACAGCCATGAAAGGGAGAACAGGGAGAGCGAGCTGGCAGCACCTTACGGCCCCGGCAGATGGTTCAACTGTGGGGAACAAAGATTGCCGGCTAACTGACAAGGGGCAAGGGATAGGCAATTAATCATCCTCTCCGAAGGCCAATGGGGGGAAGGAGGTGAGCGGTACAGGGGTCTCCATCACAGGCGGCAAGAGCGCTCTGCTACCTCAGCGTTAACACAGGATTACCGGGGGGGGGGGGAGGTTGCATGCATGTCAGGACACCTCATTCATCATAATCCCAGGGCCATTTTTCATGTTGAAATGAGCCCTTTCAGAAGGCGCCTGGTACAATGGCTACTTTAATCTTGCCCTCGCTGGCCGCATCGCTTCAGAGTCTTGGCACCGTGGCAAGGGGTCTTGGATTGGAGAGTTTCGCTGCCTCCTTTGTGAACAAAAGCTTCAATGTGTGTGCGTTTGCTCCCTTTTCGTTTCCCTCTTCCTTCTTGAAGAAGAAGAATAGCATGGTTGTGGGTTTTCCTTTTTTCGTTTTCGCAGGAAGTTCTGCTCAGCAAATTCCGCTGAAAGCGAGTGAGTGGAGGCTTCCAGCCTCTTTCTAGAGATCTGTTCCAGGTGCAAACAGCTAAAGCTGTGATCTGGGTCACCGATCCACTGGGGGGGGGGAGGACGTCTCCCGGGTCAGTTCCACCGAAATGACAGAAGGCTCTCCATGGCTCCCATTCATTTCTGCAGGGTGGGCGCCAGAGAACTTCCTTGGCAATTATTAGAGGCTTGTTTTCTGGCAATTATTAGAGGCCTTACAACTCAATGGGCTCAATTCTATACCACCAAACGGTTCAGGACCTGCTCTCGGACAGGAATGATCAACTTACTTTAACAGTGGCTGAATTTTCGAGTGCTGTCCATGTAGAAAGACTGGGCCATTATAAAGAGATTGAGTGGTTCTTAACTGACCGGTGATGTGGTAGTGTTGTATTGTATTATTTATGCAAATTGATTCTCTCTGGAGTAAAAGATCTGACTGGGACAAACCTTGTTATGTTGAGCTCGTATTTTGCACAATTTGTATAGTGTTTGTTTGATAATGTGTGGTTTGCTATGCCTAATAAAGGATATTAATAATAACTTCCTTGGCCAAGTGTGGCATTAGGTTGCTGAAGCTAAAACAGCATTCTTTGATGAGAGTGGAATTGTAGAGTTGGAAGGGACCACTGGGGGCATCTATACCAACTCCCTGCAGTGCAGGGATCTTTGCCCGATGTGCGGCCCGAACTCACAACCCTGAGATGTAAGGGTCTCATGCTCTACTGACTGAGCATGTGGAGCAGAAGTGCTCAAGGATGTGTGAGATCCAGGGGTTCCCTGTTTAAGGAAGTTTTTTAATGACTGGTGTTTTAATGTATTTTTAATCTCTTGTTGGAAGCCGCCCAGAGTGGCTGGGGAAACCCAGCCAGATGGGCAGGGTGTAAGTAATAAATTACAGTGGTACCTCGGGTTACATACTTTTCAGGTTACAGACTCCACTAACTCAGAAATAGTACCTCGGGTTAAGAACTTTGCTTCAGGATGACAACAGAACTTTTGCTCTGGCGGCGTGGCGGCAGCAGTGGGAGGCCCCATTAGCTAAAGTGGTGCTTCAGGTTAAGAAAAGTTTCAGGTTAAAAATGGACCTCCGGAACGAATTAAGTTCTTAACCCAAGGTACCACTGTATTCGTATTATTCTTATTTGGACTTCAGGATAAGCACTGCATGAGAAATAATAATAATAATAATAATAATAATAATAATAATAGTGGTAAAACATTAGAAACTTCCCTAAATAGGGCTGCCTTCAGATGCCTTCTAAAAGTCAGATAGTTGTTTATCTCCTTGACATCTGACAGGAGGGCATTCCACAGGGTGGGTGCCGCCACCGAGAAGGCCCTCTGCCTGGTTCCCTGTAACCTCACTTCTTGCAGGGAGGGAACCGCCAGAAGGCCCTCGGAGCTGGAACTCAGTGTCTGGGCTGAACAATGAGGGTGGAGACGCTCCTTCAGGTATCCTGGGCCAAGGCCGTTTAGGGCTTTAAAGATCAGCACCAACACTTTTGAATTGTGCCCAGAAACGTACTGGAAGCCAATGTAGGTCTTTCAGGACCAGTGTTATATGGTCTCGGCTGCCACTCCCAGTCACCAGTCTAGCTGCGGCATTCTGGATTGGTTGTAGTTTCCGGGTCACCTTCAAAGGTAGAAGGACTATAGAACAATGTCAGAGCATCTTCCTTGCATGGAGAAGGTTTCAGGAATCTCCAGGTATTGCTGGGAATGTCCTGTCTAAACATATGAAAAACTTTCTGACAGTCAGAGGGCCTCCCTTGAGAAGTTGTGGATGCTCCTTCCT